AACAGTGATTAAGTACCTATCTTAGTTATCAATAGATTAAATTTTTGATCCATTTACATATATGATAATATCACTATTATCTTAGTAATGATTTACGTAACACAACAATAATTGTACATTCAATATAAATAAACAAATAAAATAACCAATAGAAAAATAAACAAATTTCCAATAGAATTATTATGAAATGACAGTGTAGCAATAACATTTTACTGAAAGATTTGAATTAACATAAAACAAAAATATTTAATGATTGATATTTTTTCGTTCATAAGAACGAAACAAATAATTGTTACTTTGTTACTTGCTGCTGTTTAAATTTTAAGACGAAAAGACACTTAATCAAAAGTGAATTGATCTAGTAAAAAATAATTATTACTTGTTATAACAGTTTAGCTTCAATTTACAAAATGGCAGCTTTATACAAAGATACGATCATCCATTTCTAAATAAAAAACTGTCGGCAAATCTGGCCCCGCTCTTTTGAGGTTCCGTACAATGAACTAAACATTTAGGTATGAAAGTATTTTTTTTTCGTCATAACCTAGAAAGTACATTATGAATAGACGTTTTCAATAATAAATTTAATTCAATTTAAATATCCAGCTTTAGGCAAGAATTCTACATAAAATATATAAATTTCAATTCTGTAACTCATTCCGTTTGTAATCTAGACACCCGTGACATACGGACGGATAGACGATAGAGTGACAGCAATATGGTTCCACTTTTACCCTATCGGCAAGGAACCCTAAAAACATGTGTCATTTAGTCGTTCATTAATCATTTATCAACCCTTATTACGCATTGTTTACAGAAAGCAATGGGTGGTTCTAATATAAAAGCTTGATTCAATTAAAAATATTTTTTATTATGATATTATTCTGAAACAAAGCTATAAAAGGAACTTTACTTAAAAAAATACAAAATCGATACATTTATAAAATTATTCATATGCTATTGTCTTATGCTTCTCCCACAACTGCGCGACGAAGCTTGGTACTAAATGCTCAACAATTATCGTTGGAATTCAGTTCTATCGTAATAAATTATCTCGAGTTGTGTGTTTTTAAACGCTAGACGATAGCTTTACTAGCGATTTTTGACACGCTTAAATAAGGTTGTGGAAAACGCATTAGCGCATTTTAGTACCAAAGCTTCGTCGCACAGGTGTGGGAGAAGCATTATGGGAGCTAATTATAATAACAACGATTACTCAATGTATGACCATGGTAACGAATTAAGAACTTGAAACTAAATTATATTCTCCGAAACAACTCAACAACCGTGTCCAAAAAAACATTTTTTTTTTAATAAAATGAATTAATTTATTCGCTTGCAGATCGACGCTGCAACCCACACTAGTGAATCAAATGAATCGGTGGCGCTTCGATCGATGCGGTTGGCTAGTGCCTTCAACAACTACGGACTGAAACCGGGAGATGTAGTGGTGATATCGGGATATAACCATTTAGACATCGGGATCCCTTTTTATGCCTGCCACTACAACGGACTGCCGGTGTGTGCAATGGATCCGAATGTACCGATAGGTATGTATCACCTTTAGGGTACATCTTCATTCGCGTAGTTTATAGCGATTTGACGTTAAAGGTACAAGTCCGTACTGAACCGCAGACCACAGGCCGCAGCTGCAGACTGCAGGCGAAGATACCATTAGTTTCTATAAATCTCTATGAAATTGATTCCGAGCGCGGCGACATACCGCTGCTGCACAATGCATATAATGCACGGTCAGCCGCAGACGCTAACCTCAGTGTCGCCTGCGGTTGTCGCCTGCAGCCCATTGCGGAATTGTACCTTTAAAGACCATTTCTTCATTAGACTTTTTCTAGTTATGACCATTTCTGCATTCACCCATTTCTTGTGAAACCTAGGTCTTATATGGACCATCACTAAACATCATTACTCTTAATAGCAGTTAATAGTTTAGAACAGTGACACTAACTCCGTTTGAATTTAATAAATATGACGAATGAGTACCCTAAGAACCATGTTAGAACTGTGACATAATATAAGAAATTTGAAGTTTCCCTCCATCAATATTTGTTAAAAAAATGTTTTCAAGCAAAATAATTAATTTTAATGAAGTTAATGATATAAAAATGCGAAAAATTTGAGGGAAAGTGCGAGTACGTATTTGTCTAGGCTGCGTACTTCACCTAATCACCTTGTGCCACTTTTCAGTCTGACATTAAAATTTTCACCAAAAAGTATTAAAAAATACTGTCTATTTGATTGACGTAGGTTCCAACTTCCATCAGTAGTGAAGGTATGACTCAAAATGTCAGTATCTTGTAAAGTCATTGATCTTGTTTGTAGGTTGATGAATTGTGACATCATCCTCAAGCGTTCCAACTTAGGGAGCGTTTAAAATCTCCGTGCAAGGTGGCTATTTTTAAATTTAGAAACTATACTATTTTTGACTTTACTTTTTTTTACTGTATAAGGGGGATGTAAACTACAAAATATAAAAAACATGCATAATTAATCTGTACTCCCACTAAAAGCTGATAACGTTATGCTAGATTTCTGAATACGTCATACATTAATTAATTAGGCGGGTCATAGGGCGTTCTCTTTTATCAGTCTTGGCATAAAGTACGAACCTACAGTGCTTGATATGTAAAATATCTAGATTTAGTTAAATACCACACAGACACAGATAATCTTATCAATATACCAGATGAGCATAAAAGATAACAATAAGCCAATATCACAATAATTCTTACTAATGTGCCGACATTATCATCTGATAACATTATAAATTGACTAGGGATTCGAATACCCTATTGCCATTTAGCTAATCCGATATTGAAAGCTTCTAGGAACACGTGGAAACAAATGTATTAGATAATATTCAAACTGAATAAATAGGTATGTGCCCCGTTTACAATCATATTTTATCAATGTTTTACGGTATCTACAACTACATAGTTAAATGAGATACTTTTACAAGTAACATTCTATAGCAAAGAATATGACTTAGCTTCTTAATAACTGCTACATTTGTGCCAAATTAAAATTACTACCTACCTATAATAATATTAACTTGTCCAGGTAATTTCTTATTCATATAGCGATGCGATATTAAACAATTTTTGACTATACCGATAGGAATAAGTAAAAAGCACTTCACATGTAATTATAGTTTTTTTGTATCTGAAGCAAATGTAACTGAGATTCTCATCACACCATTCAAAGTTCTCATACTGCTCTGCGTGGCAGGTTTTAAAATATTAAAGGAAAGACAGCGTTATGTTAGATATCAAATATATAAGCGTTACTTACCATACTCCTTCGAAACGGCTTGACCGATTTTTATGAAATTTTATATGCATATTCAGTAGGTCTGAGAATAGGCTACTATCTATTTTTCATACCCCTAAGTGATAAGGGTTGTCCAACCCTAACATTTTTTTTGGTTCGTGTTTAAAAAATACATACATCCCTAAATTTTCACTCTTCTTCCAACAGCCTCTATTTTTATAGCGGTACGAAGTTCGCTCGGTCAGCTAGTATGTATATATATATTTAAATAATAATTAATACCTATTTCCCTTGGTCAGTCATAACTTCAGAACGACTTAACCAATTAAGTACATACATGTTTTTTTAATTAAAAAGAAAGAAAGTTGCGCTAAACTAAAGTTTACTGGGATGAAACCTGGATGGAAGCTAGTGCCCTTCATACTGTAAATAATATGAGGAGTTGGCGAACAAAACGGTATAATTACGCATCTGGTCAAACTACATTTTTTACAGTCCGGAAGTTTCGGGCCCGTTGAAGTTGAATCTCAAAAATGTTCGATCATAACCGCCTAAAATCGTGTTAAAATTTATAAATTAAAAACCATGCCAAAAGCTCACTGTAGGTATGTCATTCAATCTTATACAGCTCCTGTAAAATTTATTGAAGTTATACTTCTTTAGGCGCGTTATGAAAAAATGATGAGAGTGAAATTTTTAGATGCGCGCGCATCACTGTAACCCAAAAGTAACAGCATGAAGTTGGCCGCGGGCGCGTTATGAAAAAATCATGTGAGTGAAATTTCGAGATGCGCGCGCATCACTGTAACACAATAGTAACACCATGAAGTTGGCCGCGGGCGCGTTATGAATGTTAGTGTCTAATAATAATTAGACATCTGTTCGAAAGGTACTTTGAACGATCCACGGAGCTCCATAAGATGATCGCGTTGTCAAAAACAATGTTGGCACGCTCGTCGCCTCTGATCACTGTTTTCATATTTATAATATTTATCCACATGTTTCTAGTTTCTATATATACACAACGTGTTTTAGTTACTTACAAGTGCTAATTACATATGGACTAATAACTTAAATTCAGTAGTGATTTTAATTGACAATTTATTTAATTTTTCAAATTAAAACTGAACTTAATTGACTGTGTTAACTATCCTTTTCCAGTCCTTTTATTATTTTATTGTAATTATTAATTATTTGCATGTTTGCATGCAATTAAAAAATATTTTTAATGATGCTAAAGAAGTATAACTTCTCACGCGCGTACATAAGTTACACGCATCCATTTTTTTTATTTAATTATGCCGTTTTATTCGCCAGATCCTCATATTGTTATCACTAAGTACATTTATATTTATTAATTTGCGTAACCGGTTTATGAAGCATTCCGTATTTTTAAACAAAACAAAAAAAATTAGCATTGAAATTATGTTCATTTGAAATGGCATACATCTACTTTCCTTTACCGAAACCCGGTCGTATAATATCCCTTATCATTCTGCGTGGTTCCCATTCATGTATATATTCAGCTGATTTAGAGGAAGGCACCTGGAGGAAAAGAAATTGTACCTCGCATTAGTGTAATCTTATAAAGATATCCTTTAATAAGGGTATAACAGTAATAAAATAAACTTGTTTTATTAGAGATTAAAATATATTTGTGGAGGAAAAGGGATGCGTGGTTGGAGAGGTAGTAACCTAATTAATTATTTGTTTAGAGAGACGAACTTCTTAGCAATCCATGGATTCACCGTTCGGGTGCCGTGTCCATCGTGTGGGAGAAAGAGAAACTCTGAGCAGTTCCCGGGACTTGCGAACCAGGTGTAGGTTTAAGGAGGCCCCCTTTGAGATGCGCATCAACGCTCACCTTCACTGCTCGAGTTGCCCGCCCTTTCTAGCCGAATTTGATAGGAGCCTATTAGTGCAGCCTTAGTTACTCATTCCAAAATTGAACTTACCGCAGTTCTTGGCGGGCTATTTTAGAAGGTTATAGAGAGATTTTGCTAATATACCTCTCGCTCCTACTTCTACTGCATATTTTAACTGGGTAGCCATTTTTAGTTAGTTCGTTGATTAGATATTACTAGTTTTAGATATACTCTTACTCTTTTGGCGATAATATTCAAAGCTAAAGCAAGTATCGAACGAAGCGACATAATCAATCTCGTTCACAAATTTAAATTGAAAGGGTTTAACTCGAAAGGAGTGAAAATTACACAATGGTCTCGAACCTACCAAGATGTAAGCAAGTTTTTTCTGCAATACCCAAATTTAATCGTATTACTTCATACAGTCTAATTTGCCTTAACTATTGATATAGATGAATTTGTGTATTTTCTCTTATGCTATGGCAGAGCATATAAGTGTACCTATTAGAAATTCAAATATTAAAATTTCAGTATTTCGCGGACAAGGGCTTCTACCCACGTAATAAACGCTGTTCTGTAACGACTGATGTAATTTTTCTCCTCTTATCTGTGCCAGTGGTGTATTGTTACACAGTTTATGTGTCAGTAGAGAAAAGCTGTGTGCACATTATAGAGATTTATAATATTTACAGGGGACCTAAAAGGACTCTTCCCGGACATAAAGCCGAAAATAACATTCTGTCAGCGAAGTCTTCTGGAAAATATCAAAGAGGCGTATGCCGTAGCAAATATGGAAGGGAAAATTATCGTCTTTGACGATGAGAAAAACAACATGGAAAACTTTATCCAAGAATACAACGGAACAGAAGTCAATTACAGGTGGGATTTATAAATTTATTTAAAAAAAACTTCCAATGAAGATCTTGACAGTCAACGCTACGTTAGTAAATACAATGTAATATTAATTACACAGCTAAATTTGTTTCACTGTCTTTCCTCATCTACGGTGTCGAATTTTAAGTGTAGAGAATCATGCCATACTGGCATGATTCTTACAACTTAAAACAACTCAACAACTTAAAAGTAAATTTAACATCAGTCTCTCCTTTTCATTCTCTCTAAAGAATGACAACGATAGACTGTTGTCAAATTTAAGCTTAGGTTTAGAAAGACCTTACCTTTAGACAGAATATGGACTTCGGGCAGTGCATATAAATCCTATCTCTCATTACGATAAGCACACACGACTCTAGTGTCGGAGACTAGTCATCGCTGAATATCTCACATACATTTATGGAGACCCATTCACTACGATACCGGTATTCTACGTGTTCGCCACTAGTCTTGCGATACCCGACATGCTGTAAATAATATCGAATTCTCGATACGCGTCAAATGTCAAGAAGTTTTGTATAGAAGATTTCTAACGCTCGCTTTGGCCGTTGTGGCGCTGTTCAAATTTCCATACAAAACATGCAATAAGATACTGTACGTAGAATTTACGATCAAAAGCTATCATTTATAATATAGTAATATTACGTTTCATGTTACCAATTCCCCGAAACAGGTAATGGTAATTTATGTATATTGTTATGTAATGAAATAGTTGAGCAGTAATTATTGTCAATATTTGTCAGTAAATCTTTGTAAATTTTGATCATAAATATCAAGTATAATTTGGTTTCTATAGCAAGTAAAGCCACTATGATAGTCTCAAATTTATATGAAGATCATGAAATATTATTATCAAACCAAGCAAACTATATCATTGGAGCGACTACGTGACTCCACTGTTCAATCATTTTTGTATACATTAGTATTGATAATATAAGATTAATTTTCATTCCTCGTTCGGTAGGCTACTTTTCTATTACAATGTACTAGTGGATAATCCACCAATCAAGCTGTACAAAGTTAGGCTAAGTATGTATAATGTGGCTAGGTGCACAGCATAACGTAATTCTTTGGGGAACTTTTGTCTGGTTCGGCGCTTAGCTACGTCGCACAGTAGACCTGATGATAAGGTAACCTTACATGTTGGTCACCCATCCGATGACTGGTCGTCGACCCCAAAAACAGTCTCCCATCTGGTCACAAAAATTACCAAAACATAGGTAAATGAACTTGCAATCAACAATACAAAAAAAATATCGATTTAATGTTATCTCGTGCGCTGTTTTACTTTACTGTATCCAAATAACTTCATGTATTTGCTAGTAATTATCTTTTTAATAATCCACAAATTGCGTTGCTCAACAGTGATTTTTTAATGATAAGATGACTTTATCGTATCAAAAAATCAGTGCGAGGCTATAATCATTGTAATCTTAATATCGATTAAGCAGTCCGTGAAAACACTCGAAAATTTGTTTTACATGAATCAACGTTATACATATTTATTTTCTGTACAACGTATTTCAGAGTATGCATCCAGACAATGTATTAAAACGAATTGTATGATCTCATAATAAATCTTGGATAAAGTGTTTGTAATTTAATTGAATAAGTATAGATTTTGAGAAACGAGATACTGATACTGGTGAAAGTTATGCAACTTTTGCAATGGTTGGTCATTGGATGGGTGACCCAAAACTTTTTATTTCAAGCTCTTCCGTGCTTTGGAAAGCACGTTAAGCAGTTGGTCCCGCCTGCATCTAGAGTCGTTAGTACCCACCATTCCGCGCTGAGCTCGCGGGTGGGTCTCGCTCACAACCCAGTCTCCCTATTCCCTCCATAGGAAAGATCTTTGGCCCAGCAGTGGGGAAATTAGACATATTATCATAATTGTTCGTAGTTACGATTATCAATTTATAATAGTGATATCATATAATCCGCTTAATTATAAATCCACCCGTAAACATCATAGACAAATTGTATGCCGACGTGTTTCAAAAAGGATTTACATTAGTAGAGTAAACAATACTCTGGATACGTTCCGGGTTACGTACTAATCAACAAAACGACAGGACTGCTGAATAATGATTGAGGGAGGCGGGCACTGTTTTTTTCATACAAACGCTCTCGACTGATTCCTTCTTGATTTTTATTACTAGAGAATTGATTTTCACACATTATTATATAATTTTACACATTCTATTTCTTTCTTTTTTCGATAACTTGTTATTCAAAGAAACTAGAAGCTGCCCAACAATGTCAAACATAAACTTTTTTAATCACCACTAAAGAGACTTATGTGGAGATTCAATAAGCATTCATAGAGGCTTAGTATAGCTAATTGTATGGGTAAAATATCTTTTAGAAATATCTTATTTTCTAAAAATCTCGAATTTTGCAATCTTTATACACAATTCTCAGCGTTAGCTACTGTTGTCCCAATCGCACAGTATTTGCCAATGCGCAACAGCGATAGTTTTTTCAAATACCTATTTCTCAATGAGGAGCTCGATGGCGCAGGTGATTAGCGCGTTCGGCTGCGATCATTGAAGTTAAGCAACTTTCGCAGTGGTCGGTCATTGGACGGGTGGCCAAAAATCTTCAATCTCGAGTTCCTCCGTGCTTCGGAAGGCACGTTAAGCCGTTGGTCCCGGCTGCATCTGCAGTCGTTAGCACCCGCCAATCCGCACTGGGCCCGCGTGGTGGGTCATGGCCCAATCTCCCTATTCCATCCATAGGAAAGGCCTGTGCCCCAGCAATAGGGACATTAATAGGCTGATGATGATGATGATTTCTGAATTGTCTCTCAGCTCGCGTTCGCCTTAATTAGGATCATCAACAATGTATTAGATACTATTTTAAATACCAAAAAATTTAAACATTGGGTACAGTTAACTATTAACAACGACTGAAAAAGTAAGTGAATGGCACTTTTTGATTTCCAGACCAGCTGAATTCGACCATTCTGAGATCCCAGCGTGGCTTATTCTCACCAGTGGAACCACAGGACTACCAAAAGTAGCCATTATACCATACGACAGACTGCTCAGCGGAATCTGTTGTTGGTGGTATGTATCCTTAAATATAAAATGCAATTGTTTTTATGTTTAGCCTCCATCGACTTGGAACGGTCTTTCCATAATTGCGGGGGAAAACTCAAAATTCTACGTTTTTCTAAAATACCAGTCCAGAAGAGCTTATCAAATTTAAATTGATTTGAAATTTTAAATAACCCGCTTTCATAATCCCCCTAAAAACATATACGCTATTTCTCATTCGTCACCAATGAGGATCCTTATTATACTCATCAAAACAGTCTAAGCAGTATACATGTATACCGTATACAAGGGTTTTGAATTTTTGAACGATTTACACTATTGTAGTGTATTTATACTATGCTAGTGGCCCGCCCTCGCTTCGCTTCGTTGTAGAGCTGTAGTGTAGGCTATAGTTTTTGTTCTTAGGCTTGTATAATACACAATAACTTTCTTCTTATAAATATAACCATTCCATTCCAAGTAAAAATTATGTTGCGTTGTTTTGGACCCGTTGTACCGAATGCATTACTCTGCTGTTTTGCATGCATTATTTATATTTATAACATCACGCTACGACCAGGAGGAACGGAACATAGATAAAAAATGTTGCAAAAACGGTAAAAATATTCCATTTGTGAGCTTCCGTTGCGTGCGCTGGGTGTTTTCCCAGTTAAAGTTACACAAAAATCATCTATGATTGAATTAAAAGTTATCTTTAAAAGTTCTATAAAAAAATCCTCGATAGTATATGAACATCTTTTAAGTTGACTCACTATAAGATTTTTTCTTACATTAACGCGGGTGAAACTGCAGTGGACCTGTAGTTGTGACGTTACTGTAATAGTTAGAAATATGGTATTATGGACTTTTTTTGTAGATATTGGTGACCTCTATAAAACTTTAGTACATCACTGTGCTCTATCGTCATTGACTTCCGTAGCTTACGCGATGTAAGGTTATTTTTTGGTATTTTTTATACACTTTGGGTTACATTATCGAAGTTTTCATACGGAAACCTAACATTTTTGAAAATACTCTATAGCCTATTTTCATCACGGATAATGTAAAATTCTAATGTGAAAGAATTTTTCAAATCGGTTCAGTAGTTTCGGAGAATCAAATTTTTGCTCTTTATAATGTTATAGTGGCTCGCCCTCGCTTCATTTCGGTGTATATTACTGTAATAGGCTATATAATATCACGCTACGACCAGTAGGAGCGGAGCATCGATGAAAAATGTTCCAAAAACGGGTAAAAATGTTCCATTTGTGAGCTCCCGTTGCGTGCGCTGTTTAAACGGTTAAAGTTACACTAACATCATGTATAATGGAATTAGGAATTATTTCTTTTTAAAAGTTCAATTAAAAATCCGCGACAGCATACTTTCATCTTATAAGTTTGATTACCTATATGCTTTTTCCTCAAATTATAGCGGGTGAAACCACAGGGGACCTTTTTATTACCTCTACTGTACCTCTTTTGCTCAATTGTCAACGACAACGAATATAATCACCTTAATGATGAGAAGAGTATATAAAAGTACGCAAATGGGAATAATTTTCTGTAGTCTCTAGTTGTGACAAAACTGTTATAGTTAAACGTCTGGTACTGCGGACTTTTTTGTATATATTAATGTCCTCTATAAAACTTTAGTACATCACTTTGCTCTATTGACAATGACTTCCGCAGCGTACGCCGCATTACTTTCTATTTAGTACTGCAATAAAAGCACGTTGTTTTAACTAAGGATTGCCAACAGAAAATGCAACCGTAGCAAAGAAAATACTATATTACAGTTAAGGGACTCTTATTGCAACGGTTACCTTTTCCTTGGTTTTCTTATTCGTAATAAAATAATTGACTTGTAAAAAAGTATTTATTCATATAAATAGACATCTTTCATGATATACTAAGTAATTGATATACGAATATTAAACTACTTTCAGTCGGCAATAATAATCTCACGTGGACTAAGGTAACTAGATATTGACGAAAAGTATTTTAATTTTATCATCATGGTTTCATTCGTATTAATTTGAGGAAAAAGGTTATAGTAAGACACCCTTGAAAGATAGACATATGCTGTCGCGGACTTTTTTTACAAATAAAACTTTTAAAGTGCGACAATTTCGTCATACATGATGGAGGTGTAACTTTTAACGTTTATGCAGCGCAACGGAAGCTCCCAAATTGAATATTGTTCCCCGTTTTTGCAACATTTGTCATTAGCGCTCTACACCTATTGTTAGTAGCGTACTGTTGTTTAATATAGCTTCAGCCTCCCTCGATAAATGCACTAGCCAACACAAAAAATATTTTTCAATTCGGACCAGTCATTCGTGAGATTAGCGCATTCAATCAAATAAACAATGAAACTCCTCAGCTATAGAATAATTTTATCATAACAATTTGAACTTAACTTGATTATGGAAATTAGTAACAAACACTTCTTTAACAAATTTGTCTGTATCACCAATATCCGATTTACAAATCCAAGCCGATAGGGTTGAATGATGGAACTGCCGTCACCATGCGTCCGAACAGTTGATTAGAACACGTTGAATATGTAACGCCAACAGTGAAGCGAGTACGTTGAATATTTATGTCCTTAAACCCTAGCTTTCCTTGTCCGGACCGCAGCAGAAAAACATTTTTGCTCACTAACCGAAAAAAATTAGTTTCGAGAAATACCGCTAAAGCTTGCTCCTCTCAGTTGTCGATTCTTTATTAAGAACGCTAGCAAAGGATTCTAGTTCAAACAGAGAACCTACATATTTCGGAATTAAGTCTTAAATATTTCAACAAGGACTCAAATATTTCAGGTCCTAGAACATTGTTATTTTCCCACCCTTAGGGTAGGGTCTTTGTTTCAAAATTAAAAAGTCATTAAAATCGGATGGAACAAGTTATGCGTGATCATAAATAAAAAAAATATGCGTCGAATTGAGTACCTCCTCTGTTTTTTCGTCGGTTGAAGAGAATAACTTCTTTCTTCTTCCTCTAGTACTGTACTCTGGACTCCTTCTCCATATAAGTTTTAATTGTACAAGTCACTATTCCGTGCGCATGTAACGCAAGGGTTTCCTTCACCTATTACGATAAGAATATTCAGCTATATATCCAACCAATTCAATACAGAATTCAATTCATAGACACCTACATTTATCAATAATAACTATCGAAATATTTTTTCAGGCAACCTTTTACAGCAGCCTTCGAGACTGCATTAACAATGTCAACATTCCAATGGCTGTCTTCTTTGCTGTACTTTGTCTCCTCATCTTTGAGAAAGTACACAAGACTTCAGTGCTCCGTTCCGTTGACGCCTCAGCTGTTGGTGGCTATTATCAACAAGTACAGGGTAAATGAGATTATTTGATCAATTAAACATATTTTTTTTTGTAATTTACTTAAAAAATACGGTAAATGCAAGAGAGAAGTGAACAAAAGAATGCTTTCCTCGAATAGAAGAATCCACATGTGCCTTACAGAAGCTTTCATCAAAATAACATAATTTTATGTGAAAAATTATTCTATAAAAAAGATATGTTGTGCTGTCCAGGTGTCAGATTTTACAAATTTGTTAGTTAAATATTTCAACAAAAATACCATTATATACGGATAATATATAAATAATCTTTTCATAACGTGGTTTGAGCACACCGGGGTATGAGGAAAGAATTCAGGCAGCCAAGGCAAAAGTATGTTATTTGACACGAATTTACGTCACACTGGCTATCCTCACATTTGAACTTATCAAGTATTCTATAATATATAAAAATGTAATACTTTTACAGCCCGAGTGTACTGCGTGGACTCCGCATCTACTCGGTCAGTTCTTAGCTGGAACTGAGAAAATTTGTGACATGTCTTGCTTCATTTACGTTGCTGTAACTGGAAGCCCAATGGAAAAACACATATTTGACAAATTCAAAGTAAGTTTTAATGTTCTCTCACCATGTGCTTTCCAAATCAGTCCGGGATATTATCCCAATTGTTTATCTTATTGATTAAAGAAGAAAAAAACTTATAAGTATAACTAAATTATATTAATTATAAACCGCACTAATGGTCCGAGGGGAATATTATAATTAGATAAGATTTGTTTTAAATCTTACTGTACAGATCCACTTCTTTGTTTCAACTTATTTTTTTCCACAAAGAACCGAAGAAAGCCAAGGAAATCCTATAAATACACCAAATTTATATCAAACTCATCTAAAGAAAATTTTACTAGGAAAAAATCGCCGCTGTCCAGGCAGCAGACGGGACTCGAACGCTCCGCTATCCGGGCGCATGCACTAACCATTTATACTAATCGCGACCTTAATGGCCGTGTGGCCTGGACTGCGTGGATTATTTACAAAAAAAATGGTTGCCTGTAAAGTCGGTTTTACGGGCGAAGATTTTACGTGACAACGTCTTTTTCTCGGTAGAATATTTATTGATATGAATATAATTAAATTGCACAATAGGAACAAGGAATTGAATGAAAATAAGAATTGCACAAATTTTAACTATAGAAATATATTTTGTTTACTAAAACATTGTACATGTAAACTTAAACTTAACACGAGAGACTCATCGTAACGTTACCGAGCGTTACACTTTTTCATAAGTGACTCCCAGCCGCAACCTAATTTAAGACGTTGTCACGTCAATAAAATAATCTTTAGATTTAGAAATCTAGTAGTTAAATGCTTCAGAAATTATACTATTATAAAATATATCCTTATATTTTTTAGGAAAGAACTAACGCATTCCTGTATCTGGTTTATGGCATGACAGAGCTGCTAGTTCCTGGTTTTGACTACAGCGAAGAAACACCTTTTGGATCTGTCGGAAAACCTTATGATAGGTATGAGTACAAGGTAAGTTTCTCACTAAACGTATATAATCAGAATTCAAAATAAATATGTTTAAAAAAGTCACTACCTACCTTATTAATATATTCAGATATTGTTTGTAGCAAAATACATTTAAAATAAATATTTATAATGGAATATTCCTAACTCAAAGTTATTAGGAAAAGTTCATACAAGTTTTTACTTCATTTCAGCTAGTGGATGACCAAGGCAATGAAGTGGATAAACCTTTTCAAAGTGGTGAACTGTGGATGAAAGGAGACGCTTTCTTCAAGGTAAGATTAAAATCCTATTATTTACTTACCCTTCACGATGAATTCTTGAGATAATTAAGTAAGGAATTTTCTTAGGAAATGGTGTCGCTTTTGCAAGGATGCTCTACGATGAACTTTATATTCAATTAATTCTATGCCATTTCCCCGACACCAGTGATGTGGCTATTATATAAAATAATTTAGTACATATTTCTTTAATTATCTCATGGTAACGTACCTTTTAATGCTTAGATGACAAACCTAGGGGTAGGCGTGAAGTTTATGGTTTTACATGTGTACTTCTTTTAATAAATATCTTCTTAGAGCCATACTTGATTTGAATAATACGTTAACAGTAATACGCCCGGCGTAGAGTGTGGTAATTGCGAAATTTTTGCTTTTAAGATTAATATTGCTTTTTTTAAATAGTTATGATCCAGTTAGCGGTTAATGTCTATAAACTTATGTAGAGTTTGGAAATATAATAGTAGATACAATGGTTTAACTACTTTCGTGTTATAATAAAGTACTCCAAAGTTAGACAGTCACATTTTTTTATTATATATTTCTAACACTCACGCACCAATTAGCCGAACCCCAAAGTAAGCACTATAAGGCTTGTGTTAGGATCCAAAGGTAAAGGATAGAATACATAAAATTTATTGTTTTATTGTATAAATTAATATAATATATTTAGGTGTTATAATAATAATATATACAGGAAAAATGAACCTAAAACTCAAAACCTTAAAAAATATAATCATCATCCTATTAATGTCCCCACTGCTGGGGCACAGGCCTGCCCTATGGATGGAATAGGGGGATTGGGCCATGACCCACCACGCGGTGCGGATTGGTGGGTGCTAACGACTGCAGATGCAGCCGGGACCAACGGCTTAACGTGCCTTCCGAAGCACGGAGGGGCTCGAGATAGTAAATATTTGGTCACCCATCCAATGACCGACCACTGCAAAAGTTGCTTAACTTCAACGATCGCAGCCGAACACGCTAACCACTTGCGCCATCGAGCTCCTCCATTGAGAAAAAATATAATATAATAACTAAAATATATTATTAAAAGGAGTCCCTTTAGGCAAGGTTCCGAAGATACTGGCAGCGTTCCCCCCCTTGAATAGCTAAACCAATTTTTGTCCGAGGTAGCTGCAAGCTCTTCGGTCTCACCTTTTTGATATTTTCTTAAAAAACCTTATAGCGCTAGGACCCCACGGACCAAGGGTCTCAACACCGAATTGGACAAAAGCATATTCCGAGCCTAGACCCCTGTATTTGCAAGCTTTTGCTTTTTCAGCCGCTTCACAAGCCGCACCAGCTTGATAAAATTGATTTATTGGCACACGTATAATTTAATATAAGTTGTTTGGCAGCTAGTTCTTCCTTCATGGTTTACAGTTGCTGACAATAGATATCTGCCGTAATCTTTTGGCCAGATTTAGAAAGCTGCAGTGAACGACACCGGCGCTAGTCCACCAAATACTCACAAGTAACTTTTTTAAGTCAATTTTCGTTTAGGGCAGGATTTGGCCAGGGTTCAGCCATTGCGACGAGCGCTTCCGAGTATCATACAGTATCCGCTTTTCATCACAAGTAATGATTCGATTTAAAATCCCTTCATTATTGTGTCGGTTGAGCAAAGTAACACAGCACTCGATGCGTGTTTGCAAGTTCGTTCACTCATTTCACGAGGTACCCATCGTTCAAGTTTCTTTACTTTCCCGATTTGCTTTTAGTGGATAAATACAGTTTTGTCACTTACCTCTAAGCCTTCAGCTATCTCTGAAGTGCTTTGTGATGGATCCGCTTCCATAATAATCTTTAATTCTTCATTTTCTTCTTTGGTCTCCGGTCGTCCACAGGGTTGGTTCTGAAGGTCGAAATTTCTAGAACGAAAACGTTGAAACCAAAAACGTACCGTGCTTTCTTTTGCGACTCCAGCGCCGTACACATCATTAATCCTTGGAGCTGTTTCTGCAGCACTGGTGCCACAGTAGAACTCGTACTCGTAAATATAATATATTATACCGATATTTCATGTTTTCCATTGTACGGTAATAAGAGACGCCAAAGAAAAAAATAATGAGGAAAATCAAACGAATGACTGTTTTCAAAACTCAAATTTAACAGCTAAATGAAATTATAAATAAAAATTTGGAATTCTTAATCAAAGTGCAGATATTTTTGATCAAAGTGGTCAGTACGAAAAATCGCTAATTTCATATGAAAGGACCTAATATTTGCATAACAGTGTATTTTCTACCAGGGGCATTAAATTTACACAACAAAAGTTATTTTAAATTTCCGATCACTTGTAGTGATGCCTGTTTATAATCGATTTTGTTTTTTTTTTATTTTAGGGATATTTGGCGAACCCCGAAGAAACCAGAAAAATGTTGACAGAAGACGGCTGGTTCAAAACAGGAGACTTATTCCACAGGGACGAAGATAACAATTATTATTTTGTTGAAAGGAAACGCCTTTTAATCAAGAGTTCCGGATATTGGGTAAGTTTCTTGTCCGTTGAATATGACACGAATTTTAAGCTAGCTGTAGTCAGTCACACTAGAATGACATATTGGTGTATTTTTACGTAACTAATCTGTTTTAAATCCAACATTCTTTATCGTCATTTGCATAAAATTATGTAAAAATTTCAACCTCACTGAAATCAGTAGTATTTTCGTTTTAGATTTTAAAGCTTTTATTTAACTTGCAATGTATGTATGTATGTAAGTATGTATGTTTGTTCGGGTAGAATCTTGCAACTCAATTTTGAAGCAGATGTATTCATTTGATTCAGCTTAAATTTTGAATTCAATATGGCGGAACATACAAGATGGCGGACTAAGTTTTTTTTTATGTTTTCCTATCAAATGAAAGGACTAGCTGAGAATAGCTCGAAAAATAAAGTGACTTTAATATAGGGTTGTTGAAGTTCTCGATGTCTATTGATAAATTAAAAGTAAAAAATATTTAAAGGCAAAAAACCTTTTTTAAAAAAGAATCTTTTATTTGAATGGTCTAAACAGATTTTTTTTTCCTTTAAAACTTCCACTATGAACTTATAACGTCATTACACAATTTATCTATATAGTCATTACACAATTTTATCTATATATATAAAACTCAAAGGTGACTGACTGACATAGTGATCTATCAACGCACAGCCCAAACCACTGGACGGATCGGGCTGAAATTTGCCATGCAGGTAGATGTTTTGACGTAGGCATCCGCTAAGAAAGAATTTTGATCAATTCTACCCCCAAGGGGATAAAATAGGGAATGAAAGTTTGTATAAAACTTTGACAATTTTTAACCGATCGGGCTGAGACTTTGCATGCAGGTATAAGAAGAATCATAGATGAATGTCATTGTGTATAATACAAGCCTGAGAACAAAAACTGTAGTGTACTTCAGCTCTACACCGAAGCGAAGCGAGGGCGGGCCGCTAGTATAATATAAAAGCTTATCGCCAAATTAAGTAGCTACTGGTAGTCATAATATTAAAATTATAAAATTAAAATCAATCTAATTAAATTTCTAAATTTTAGTAAATCTCGCGACAAGGTTTTTTTATATAAAATATCACGTTATAAGTTTATCTTAAAAGTGTTAAAGGAAAATTTTCTTTTATTCATTTTGCCGCATTTCAATAAAAGCTTGCTTTAAAAAAGTATTTTTTACTTTTTATTATTTCTTAAATTCTACAGACTCTTTAACCGTACCTTTTTTGCGTTATAATAAATTATTTTACGTTTTTTATGCAATGTGTCTTTCCGCGTTAAACAATAAACTCTATACTGGTTGAACTCCATAATTCTTATATCTGGCTTAGATTAAAACAAAAAAGGTAGATACGGCACTAGCCTCACAAAAGTGATCCGCATAAATTGTGGTCCACGACCCTAATCGCTTTAGTCACAACTTGACATGCAAACGACGTACATGTGAACGCCAAATAGAAATATTGCTAATATTTTGTGTTTATATAATAAAACAATGCCTAAGTGTGTTTTTAAAAAGTGCTCAAATTGCTCAAGAACTAAAAATAAAACCCACGGCATCACTTTTCTTTCATTCGTAAGTACGTTTACAAACAGGTGGACGTGTGAGTGTTGCATATGTAGTAAAGTGGGATCAGTTTTTATTTGATGCAAGTATGAGCGTACCGTATCTACCCTTTTTGTTTTAATCTAAGATCTACCGTCGCTTACTTCTAATACTTACAATTAAATTGGTATAATCTAATGGTCCCGACTCCGACACAACTTCCAAACCCCAAAACCATTTCGGAAACGGTATATCCCTATTATGATCCCTAGGGAATGAAAAGGAGACACCGCCGCCAAAAATAAGCTCTAATCCCTAAAATTACCCCAGAATAAGAGACCGTAGTCACTAATTTTTAAAGGTTTCACCATCACTATTCTATCACCGTTCCATAATTCTTTGATTAAGAGTTTTACTAGTCAGCCTTTTGTGCTGCAGGTGCTGCTATTTTATGGATAACTGCTTCGTCTCTCCCTCTTATAACCATCCAAAAGTATTTTAATTTAAATTGTATTAATTTAAACTAAAATACTATTGAGTTAAGTGAAATTTTATTAAGTTAAGATTTATGTTTACTTTTTATCATGACATTATTATTTATTTGTGTGTTTTACTACGTTATATGTGTTCATATGCACTTATCGTATGTTTTAGTATACCTATCCCATATATTAAGCAGTTTTATAAAAAAGCATTAATATTTTCAGTATAAATAATATAAGCGACCAAACAAAAGCAATACCATTAAATCCATTGCAACAAAAATATAACAATAATATGTTATATTTTTGTTGCGTTTTATTTATTAATATAAATTAGTATAATGCGTACAAACTACTAGTTTTGTTGAGAACTTGAGAAAATGGCGAAACAAAAAAGCCGCTTTTGCATCTGTCCTGTTCTTTAAATAAGAGACCTTCTGAATAGGACGTGAATTGATTCGTCGTGAAATTATCTAAACTTATTTCACTCACGCTCTAATTCGTTCCGTGAAATCCCAAGATATGACACTGAAAAAATAAGGCCAATTTAATTTGAATAACATCATTTTATGCCAACAAGATTAACGTCTTGAAATACCAACAAAGAATATTTTCTTAATAAGACTTGTGATGTAAGAAAGTAAAAAAAAACAGCCACTGTCATGTTACTAGCTCTTCTAGGTAAAAGTCACCTAAGATGAAACTTAAAAAGCATTGGTGCAAAAATAATAATAAGTATTGGATAACATCAGATCAGACAATATCCCTTTTCAAGCTACACAAGAAGTTAAAGAGATAAAAACAACGAATGTACTATCAGCCTATTTGATTTCTGACTCACCATAAGGTTATTTTACTACAACCATTGCAAAATATTAAGGTAGACTTTCGCATAAATGTACGTATCCCTGGAAACACACTTGTTATTTTAAGAAAAATCATAACGTATGACAGATTTTGCCGCCTTCCTGTGACATAATGTTGACAGAGTTTTCTGAGAGAGTTTTGCTCATAGACTTATGATTTCCTTATTAGTTTTAAGCAATCGAAAGAGTTTCTGTTATAATAACGATGATTTACTATTTTGAAATTTCGAATTTCAAACTACTATTATCTTATACTAGCAAACCAGTGAACTAAATGTTCACCAAAAAAAAATGTATTTAATTAATTGAGAACTTCGGAGATTTTGTGTGGTTTCGTTTGAAATAGAAATCACGTGATTTCTCGAAAACCGGAAGTGCTACGTTACTCACATCCGGTTTGTAGTCTTATCAGACTATTCTCAACTTATAACTTAAACATTCTCTTTATCTATTACGGTTCTCTTACGGTTTGGCCGCTGAAACAGCACCACGGACGGACGGACGGACGGACTTGTCTAATAGATAAGAGATATAAAAATCTCGTGTCAAATGTTAGTTACTATACTCCTTCGAAACGGCTTGACTGATTTTTATGAAATTTTATATTACATATTTCCAATAAACTACTGACTAAAAGAGAAAATTAAAAATATTGAAAAGAACTGCTTCTAGCTGTGTAGAAAAAGCTTCACTGCCTTAAATAAAATGATAAAACAACCTTAATATTTACGGAATTTCATATTGTTACAGTGTCAATACAAAATCATGACGACTTTATTATAATAAATAATAGAAACAACCTATCGGAACATCGTATAGTTTAAACGAACATTTTGTATCAAATAATTGAAATAAAATCGAAAAAACAGGAATACAATCAAGTATTATTGGAAGAATCCACATAAACTAACTCGGTGAACTCTATAGAAGGCGGTGGTATCACAAAGGTTGTAATGAAATCTTGGGTCGGGCGTCCCCCCTGTGTTTTTAATTAAACCTGCAACAGGACAGCAGTCTACGATTGATTGAACTCCATGGAGCCTAATTAGAAATCTGATTAGATAGTGAGAAGGGGGACGAACAGTACGATTGATCAATGTGAACTGTTTGTTTCCAATTTAAAGAGGAAGGATAACTTTATGATTTTTGTTCAAAAATTTAAACAGTATTGTAATGAAATCCTATAATGTGTACGATCAATAGATATAAGTTTTCAAAAATTGAAGTAATAATGAAATCATTTGTACGAAAATAAAAACAGTCCTATTGTTACAATATTCAACGAAAGTTAAAAAAACAACGTGCGTTTATTGTTAACTGAAATCGTGCTGTTTATATTATATGTTATTTTGGACGATCTCTTGGTCTTATCTTTTCAGATGTATTTGATTTGTGGCAAAGTTAATGAGGCCGCGATGATTGGATAAAAACGAGCGAGCCTTACTGTAGTCGCGTATGATGTGTAACATTTGAAACCTCACCTTATATTAGTAAAAAAAGAAATTAAACCTACTACAAAAGGAATAAGCCATTTGAACATTATGTTTTAAAATCAAATCAAATAGCGTGCGCTATCGCGACTGCCTGTTACACAATTTCGTCCCAATTTTACGAAATCACTTGCACAAATTGCAGGAAAGCGAGAGGAAAGATGTTACACATCAATAAGAAAGAACGTTTGATTAAAAAGTTGTCACGTTACCCTATTAATTTCCGTAACCAAAATGAGAAACTGAATAAGACATTAAAAGCATTCCATTTTCATACACTGTACTTAACGCTTTTAGGATATTTCGTAGTCAATTTATGAAATTATCATCTATAACAAATATTTGAAACATGTTTAAAAGAAGAAGCAGTCGTAACAATATATGACAGGATCAAGTGGGGGACAGTGTAACATTAGAAATATCTCTATCTATCTCTACCATTTTCTTATTTAGCTATGGTCTGTCTTGACGTGGTTTTATTAGTTTCATCTGCCGCCACCTTAAACAGCTACTATCATTGGACGCTAAATTGCCGGGTACAATACAAAGATATTCTTTTTGTTACACAGTGCTATGCCTGTGCCCCTTGTAACACTGTCCCCCACTTGACCCTACATATTTTAAATTCATCATATATAAAATATAGGCATTATAATACAGTTGGATGCCTTCATTTTCTAGAGTATTTTTTTTTTCTATTTGAAATGAGATTTTAATCATTTCATTTTAGATTTCACCTCTTCAACTAGAAAGTGTGATAAAACAGCACCCTGATGTCGCCAATGTTGTAGTCGTCGGAATACCTGACAAGGAAAGGATGGAAGTACCAGTTGCGGCTATAGCCAAACGACCTGGAAGAGATGTGAAGCCACAAGAGATATTTGATTTAGTCAGGGGTAAGTTGAATGAGATTTAGTTAGGTCTGAGTAAAACAGTAGTGGAGGTAGTAGTACGTTCATCCGAATTAGACGTTTGGTATCAAAGTTACCGAAGACCTATAAAACTGTTTTTATTAAGTCTTAACATCTGAGATCCCATGAGCATAGTAAAGACTACATTCTTCTTTAAATGTAACTATTTGAATGAATTAACAACAAGCAGGTAGGTAGCAGGTATTAGCATTTAATTATTTTAGGTATATATTTCTGTTAAAAATTTACCGTAAATGGTTTATAAAAATAGGGAACAGCAAATTTTTCGCTTGAGTGGGAGTCAATTCAAATATTATATTAGGTGGGGTGGATTAATGTGTTTAACCTTTTATAAAAAATATATGTTAACACAAATACCAATAAAAAATGGTATGATTTTATGAAACAACGATGTTACTGAAACTTTTAAAGTTTAACTATTTAATTTAATGAATTAACAACCAGCAGGTAGGTAGTAGGTATTAGCACTAAAATAATTTAAGAAGAAAAATACGAGTACTTAAAAAACTAACAATTCATTTTTCAGTAAATAATTAACTGTGACTGGTTTATGAAAAATAGGGTACAGCAAATTTTCCGCTTAGTTGGAGTCAATTCGTAAAGGTGGGGTGATTAGATTAGGTGGGGTGGATTAATGTATTAAAGCTTATAAAAGCTTAAATAAATTGCAAGAAAATATGTGTTTATGTTAATACAAATACCAATAAAAAAAGGTGTGGTTTTATTATGTAACTGAAACTTTTTAAGTCATTAATCAAATAAAGTCCTACCTCGGCTAAGACTGCGCGCGTTGCAGATCTCAATTTTTGAGTAACAATTAAAAATTTAATTAGGCGATGTGATAAATTTTCAGTTGAAATACAGTTATTTATTTAAAAAAAAATGAGCGAACCCTACAGTAGTCGCGTATGATGTGTAACATTTGAAACCTCACCTTATATTAGTAAAAAAAGAAATAAAACCTACTACAAAAGGAATAAGCCATTTGAACATTATGTTCTTAAATCAAATCAAATAGCGTGCGCTTTCGCGACTTCCTGTTACACATTTCTGTCCCATTTCACGAAATCACTCCCAATCACAAATTGCAGGAAAGCGAGAGGAAAGATGTTACACATCAATAACTTAAAAAAACTATAAAGAATAAGTTGATTATAGCTAGTTTAAGAAATTTTCTTAAAAACTAGCTACAGTTACATAAATTCTTTACTTTCCTCCTTATTACAAGGATATATATACGTTAGCAATACGGATTCACTTATGCATACACGGGTAACGTCTTAAAGCCCATTAGAAAGGAAGTTCCTATTAATAATTAATAACTTGTTAACTTATGTAATATAACGCAAAAATTGTTACAGAAAAAATGCCAGACCTGCGCCAACTCTACGGAGGATTGTTTTTCGTTGAAGCCATCCCCATGACAGCTTCTGGAAAAGTGCACAGAACAAAGATAAAGGAAACTACTTTAACAGCGAAACGTATTTTGCCTACATTATAAAAAAAACCTTGTAAGAAATGCCAATAAAATATTATATTCCTTACGCCCGCGCTCTGACACGTCTAATTAAATTTAATGCATGTCGAAGTGACATATTCTCTTATTCATCGTGATAGCAAAAACATTAATCAAATTAAAAAAATTGACGTCTCTTTGTGTGTGGGCGAAATTATGTACAGATTATACGCCGCTCAATCAATCAACTAGGTGCCTAAATCAGAATTTCGCTTAGGTAGCTACAATATTATTGAGTCTCTGTTCCCGTGGGTTACACAAAGGTTATGTAAAGACAAAGGATTTGCTACGAATCTACTTCACCTTTCCACCTTAATATTTCATATTAATTTTATATTAATTATGATTGAAGTAAGCACAATTCAATTGAAGAGCTCGATGGTGCAGGTGGTTAGCGCGTTCGTGGAACTTAAGCAACTTTCGCAATGGTCGGTCATTGGATGGAAGCTAAAAACTTATCATCTCGAACTCCTCCGTGCTTCGGAAGGCACGTTAAGCCGTTATTCCCGGCTGCATCTGCAGTCGTAAGCATGACCCACAAATCCGCATAAGGCGTGGTGGGTCACGGTCTCCCCATTTCATCTATAGGGAAGGACTGTGCCTCTGCAGTGCGGACATTAATAGGCTAATGAACATAAAGTACAATTCATTTAACACTATTATTTAAATTATTATGGTTAAAAATAAATTATCTGTAAACTATTTCCTGTGTGGATCTCTCTGTTGTGTGTACTAGGTTAAGGTAAATATTAAGTAGAATTATATTTAAATTAAGCTTTCGTGTATATACAATTCTATATTAGTATGTTTGAAAAATATACTGTTTTATGCAGTAAAGGACATCGGTCAACTCCCATACATCGTTTTATTTCAAATAAAATTGTTGCGTCTTTCAACAAATGCTATATCATTAGATTCTACGTAATTTATTGAGCTTATATTGAAAGAAAGCCGAGGAAAAAAGATATTTTGCTCTGAACATTTATTGGTTATGTTATTTTGACATTTTTATTACGTATCTCTATTACATTTTTTCATTACAGAAATTGATTTTTTGCACAGAAATCATAACAAGTATACCCATATCACAGATAAATTCAAAATGTAGTAGAAGCGAAGCCATTTGATTTCATCGAGTGCGATGGGCGTCTTATTTTAATTATTCTTAAATTCGTTCACAATGGATGTTGTGAAATAAAGTTGGTGTGATTTTGTATCACAATCGTCTGCGCAGCTGAAGAATTAGTGGAATCTTTAAAATATACGCTATTCCGGTCAAGTGGACGTGAGAATTTTATTGTAGTGTTGACTACCTCACAGAAGTTTACGTGAAAAGCCAACTCGATACATTTCGTGTCAGACACTCCAAGAAACATTATAATGAGATTCTAATGTAAAAAAACGAAGATTTATAAAACTAAAGACTTGGCTTTATGGGCATTGTTCCCATTGCCTTCCCCAAAAAGGAAGAATCTTAAAAAAAACATTCTAACTTGTCGTATTTGGTAAACAATCTTGGCACAACTTTTTAACAAAATCACCAATTTAAAAATAAAATAATAACAAAGTCAATAATCTATTACAATAAATCGTTATAATAGACTAAAAACTATTGAATCTAGTTATCAGTTGATTTTTAATGCTGTATTTTCAATAAAAATAAGTGCCAATATTGTTTACCAAAAAGGACAAGTTAGGCTGAATGTCAATGCAGTGTTTTATATATATTTTATTTTATTTTACTCTGCTTTTATTTGTGTCTATTACAATTTGTAAAAACTGTTTATATTTAATTAATAATATTAGTAAAAATATCTATTCTAGACGTTCAACTTTGGTCCAAATATGATTTGGCCGATGTCCTTTCATATTTATGTGCAATACTTAAATAACTGGAAAAACTTAATTGTAGAAAGGTGAATGAGAATTGTATTTGTATGTCAATTAAGAATAAAGAATTTAATTATTTTTATAATTGTCTTTGCTTTTTCCCATCGTCCGACATTTTGATTGAGCAATTAACATAAAAATATCAAAGTTGAACTAGTCTAACACTAATTTTATATATAAATTGCATCCCAGCTAAACTACTAAGATTTAAAAAGTTCTATTTGCAGGGAATGCTGGCTATAACAGAATGTTTTAATTTATTTCGATGAAACTAAGAAATAGAACATTTCAACAAAATGAACACACTAAAATAATATATTTTCCATTAGAAGCTCTTATTTATTTTATACGATTGTTATTTGATATAAGACCGAAGGAACTTTTGGTCTAAAGAAGACAAATATTGCGAGGCTTAGACTGCGCAACGTCATTGTTTTACTCAAAAGTTTGTTTAGGAGCCACTCCGTTCATATAATGGAGAAAATTTAATGGCAGTTGCAGTATTCGCTGAATTTTATGTGCTTACAGGGAAAAATACATTTAGAGCTTTGTTAAACACTCATTATTTGCAAAGAACAAAGATACATATCTTTATATTAAATAATAATCTTTATATTAAACCAGCTCTTTCGACTAATTTAGCTAATTGATCACATTGATTATTCACAACATTATAATCATATTTATTTGGAACTGATAATAAATCAATACTAAATATAATTGCATTTTGTTCTGTACGCAAATATAAGGACAAGTTATTTATGAAAAAAAAATTGTGGAAAATCTTGGAAAATACACTAACCACCATCAAAAAAATTGGGAACACGATATGGTGTTCTTAAATTATTTAGTATCTTAAGACATTCCATTTGTTACTAAATTGCAAATATGCTTAACCAAAGTATCACTGTTTACGTTTAAAACTTGTGTAATGTTTAGGCATGCGTCCGATATATCAAAACGAATCCAAAATCCGATTTCAAACACAAATCGATACCGAACGATTTTTCAACAAGAAAATCCGATTTCAGAAATCTAACCGAACCAAAACGTATGTAAATCGGATTCGAAATTCGTGCTTTCGTTTTCGGAAGTCAGATTTCGTGCTCGGAAGTCAGATTTCGTGCTCGGAAGTCAGATTTCGTGCTCGGAAGTCCGATTTCGATTTGCTGTTTACGGAAATCTATTGCTTTTCTCTGAGGCGGGATTATTTATCACTGAAAAGATATGTCGTCTGAAAACATCAAAAGTCGAGCAACTTACATTTTTGGACGCTAACCTGAAATAATTATGTTTGATTTTGTAAATGGTTTGAAAAATAATAAAAACAAACAGAAAAACAAAAAAAAATACTAAAAAAATATGTAAAAAGAAATCATTGTATAAAAGCCGATTTTTAAATGCGCCGCAAAAGTTTTACTCTTAACCGTAAACATAAATTTTCTGCTAGTCCTAAGCCTAGATTTAAAGCATGAAGGAAAATCGCGAAAATCTACGAGTATCCTTGCTTCCTACAATTAATTGTTTGTGATTGTCGTTAGCTAATAAAACCAAATCATAACACAAACTAGTGATCTGGCTAAGTTCGGCACATCTGAAATCGGATATCTAAAAACGGATTTTAAAATCGATTTTGAAATCCGAAATCCGATAAATATCCGTTTGCGTTAAAAACCAAAAACGCCCATGTCTAGTAATGTTTTGAAAATAAAGCTTCAGTAGCTTTAAGGAAGAGTTTATAGAGTGGTTTAAATATAATAATTCTTAATAGCGGACTCAAGTTGAGTTTTTTTTTGGATTTACTCGAGCGTGGTAGAATAAGATAAGGTAGGCAATATTGCACCTTGTGAAGTACTCTCACCATACCTGAGCCCTCTATGTAGGGCTAAACGTCTAGCGCAGCAAAAAAATCAACAAACGACCTTGACTCCTTCCTTGCCTCCCTTATGTTATTCTGCCGCACTAGAATAAATCCAAAAATCCCCGCTTAGGCTTTCCAACCAGTACAGAAGATATGAACATTGAAAATTCATCATCTCGAAAAGTTTCTAAGTACTACTTTTAGACAATCTCGACTTCTAATACGAAATTTATTTTATATAGAGCTTAAATTAACTTAATTTTTCTAGAGAAGTAAGCAACCAGCCAATGGAAACTTAATTAAAAAATATTTAGTCCACTGAATTTTAATTCGTAATTTCGTAAAACAACACTCAAAGACTACCCAACATCTTAAATAACTAAGTACATTTACTACGTAAATAAGCTTGCCTGAAAGTGTTGTCCTTGAAGTTTTATATAAAAATTCTGGAACACTAAGGGTGAAATAGGATTCTTCAAACGTTACAACTAAACTAATTAAACCAGTAGGTATTACTTCAAGACAATTCCCAAGTAACACCCATCCTTTTGCACACTTCTGTTATTACCCGCATTGTATTAAAAGGACGTTTATTTATTTATTTATTTACTCTTTATTGTTTTGTAACAAATGCCAGACTTAATGCCACATGGCATTCTCTACCAGTCAACCATCGGGCTAAGCGGAGACATTATGCGGTCAAGTAAATTAAAGCATTATAGTCAAAGAGAAAGAAAAACAAAATTAAATTCATAAAACTACATGTTACTTAATATAATAATAATAATTAACATCTATAAATATACCTAAATAACTACATATGTATAACATATTTATATATTTATAATACGATAAATACATATTTATATATACGATAAATACCTACACATATACAATAATAAATACCACTATACTTACTTAAGAATACTATAATAAAACAGAAAATAACTATTACAAATAATATTAATAATAGTCGGACTGACCAGAAGTTGTTTCATTATATGGAAATTGTTATGACTTCTTAGCGAAATGCTGACGTACAAGGACCTTGAAAGCAGGTTTACTGGGTGCTCTTCTCACGCTCTCCGGAAGATCGTTCCAGAGACGAATAGCTTGGAGACAAAATGATTTTGACACGAAGCTGGAGCAGTGGGAAGGAATGGACAAAAGAAGGTTTTCGGATGAACGAAGAGGACGAGAGTGAGTGGAACTCAAAAAGTGAAATTTGGACTTCAGGTAAGATGGAGCATGAGGGTCAAAAAGAATTGAGAAAAGAGTTGTGAGAATTCTTAGATCACGACGGTCTGAAAGAGGCGGCCAATTGAGTTTACGGCGAAATGAAGTGATATGATCATATTTCCGTAGACTGAAAATGAATCGAATATAGCTGTTAAAAGACCGCTCCAATTTACCAAGAAAATCTATATTTAAGTCAGGATAGCACACATCAGCATAATCTATGGATGGTAGGACAAGAGCCTGGATCAAAGAGATTTTTATATGAACAGGGAGAAAAAAATTATATCTATAGAGGGCACGGAGCATATTTGTGACCCGCCGACATGTCTCGTTAATGTGAGTGGACCAGCCAAAGGTACTGTCAATGTACAAACCAAGATTCTTAACACTAGGAGAAAAAGGAATTTGCATGCCATTATAAACAATTGGGCTTACAGCGTCAATATCAACCTTACATATTTGGCGAGATCCACCAATAATAATAGCCTGGCACTTAGTCGGGTTGACAACGACACCAAAGCGCTCAGACCACTTGCAGAGCATTTCAAGATCCTCATTGAGGAGAGATATACTAGAGTCAATCTCATCAGAACAACACCGGCGGTATAACTGCAAATCGTCGGCATACAAATGAAACGAACAGCGAAGAAAGGTGGTAATGAAATTTATGAAGACGGAAAAAAGAAGTGGCGATAGGATGCCGCCCTGAGGGACACCAGCGGCTAAACTGCACCAATCAGACTGCGATTCGTCAACACGAACCGCTTGGTGGCGGTCATTTAAGTATGAGGAAGGTTTATAACGGTATCTGACACACCAAACAAAGATAAACCCCACGGACCTAAAAAAAGACGGACGTTACCTCGTCTAATCATTAATGAAGCATGCTAATGACCGCCTGTTTAGTCTAGTCATACAAAAAAAACTCGCAAACTGAAACATCGCCCATGTTAAACTTTAATGAAATTTAATTATTAAAGTTTAACATGGGCGATTTAATATTTAAAATTTATTTTTACCGGAAGTCGCCTACTTAACATCATAAACCTGGAGGATCAATTTCCAAAAAAGCTTTTAGTAATTACTTACTACTTCGAAGGAAGGTAAATTTCATCCTTCTGGACACAGCAGTTAAGTTTTTTTATTATTATGTTGGCTGTTTCAATTAGCTGGTCAGATTCTTCCTTTTTAATGTTATATTTATGAAAATAAAGAGATAATGTTCATCTCCGTTTCATATAAAGAATACAAGCAAGTTCTACATAAAAATACTGAAACTCAGTTATACTTCTTATCGTGGTAACCTGAGCCTAACGCTGAAACACCCTAAGTGATATGAAATTCAAGGCGAGAGTTTTGTTTGAAACTATTGTCATAAAATGAATCCACTTTAAAATAAAGTGAGGCGGATATACCGAAGAGGTGTGCCATCAATGTTCCGAGATGGAAGATCGAAAGCACGTCGGGTCTATTAGGCAAAATTCTCACGATAGAAGCTACACCAGCAGATTTGTATAATTCCTACACCAGCAACTCATTTTGTCTTTTAGCGCACATTGTTGATCGGTTTTCTTAAGGTTT